ACACACACACACACACACACACACACACACACACACACACACACACACACACACAGTCCCTAAACACAACATCTGCGGCCTGATTTTCTCATCAGATGGTTTTCATATGTTTGGACCTCAGACAAAACCACCCTATTGTTCTTGTTGCTTAAACTGGACTCTGGAGGTACCGCAGTCTTATTGTTTTTTAATTATTTTTTTGTAGAGTTGCATTCAAAGGAGCTGATTCATAAACTGAAAGCAGATTAAAAGTTTGCTGTATGACCCATCTCCAATCTCCACTTCCTGTCTGCTGAAATTGCTCAGAGAACTCCGAGTGGAAAAAACAACAGGCTTTACAGAGATCAATGTTTAGATCTCAAATGGAAGTATAATATTTTTGACAGATACAAGACTAAATGAATCAAAGGATTCTTCTCATATTTGTTTGACCATCTTTACATTAATTCCTTTATCGAGCCTCTCTCTCCACATTTMTTTATGTATCTTGTGGCAACAGAGCTGCATGTTCAGGAATGTGGTTCACATAGGGAATGAAAAAAAAACTTCCCTTTTTTTTCCTCAGCTGTAATGAAAACCAGACCCAAACTTTCTGTGTGTGAGAGAGAGAGGGAAGCTTCTCTTGTGTTTTAGTTTTGCTTCCATGTGAGAGGGATCCTATTGGAATTCCTCCTGTTTTCTGTCTTTGTGAGGGAAMGAAAAAGGACAGATTGATGTGTGTGTTTGTTAAGCATGTATGAAAGAAAAGCTGGGAGCTGCTGTGGCTTTTGGGGAAGGTTAGGACTAGCAAAGCTGGTTTAAAAAAAGGTTCAAACAGAAAGCAGAATGTGAAAAAACCTAAAGCTGATCTTGTGAAACTAGAGAGTTTTATTAAAACATATAAATAAAAAAGTGTGTAATATCCTAGTTTTTATTTTCTGATGTAAATTTTCACAAAGTTATTTTTTCCCCTCAGTAATCACCTCCTACCCACCTCCTGTTTTCTCATCTCATTTATTTTTTGTGTTCTAAACAAAACACTTCGTAACCTGAGTTTTGAATGCTGTGTAAATAAACCAACTCTTACTAGTTGTTGAACTGGTGTGTTTAGGTGGGCTGTTTCGATCCGTACAGTGACGATCCTCGGCTCGGCATCCAGAAGATGAGTTTGTGTAAATACAGCAACAAGCTGCTGGTGGCAGGAACCGCCGGACAGGTAAACACCTGCTTTAGTCTTAGCCCTGCATGTCTCTGTGATGCCGGTGAGCACACTGCATCATTTAGGGTAAAATAACATATTGTCTTGGTGTATTTACAGGAAGTACTGACATAAAATAAATATCCGTGTTTGTTTCTGTCTCTGCAGGTGATCGTGTTGGGTTTTAACGACGAGCGTTCAGACCATTCGGTGGACGTGTCGGTGGTCGACCTCCTGCAGGACAGGGAGGGTTTCACCTGGAAGGGTCACGACCGGCTGGAGCCGCGTCTCAAACCTGCCCCGTTCCCCCCGGGCTTTCAGCCCCTGGTGCTGGTTCAGTGCCTRCCCCCGGCGTCGGTCACGGCAGTGGCGCTGCACACCGAGTGGAACCTCATCACCTTCGGAACCAGTCACGGATTCGGCCTCTTTGACTACCACAGACGAAATTCTGTGCTGGCCAGGTTAGAGTCGTGCAGACATACAGAATATAATAAAAATCTGTTTACAAGCAGTAATTTTATTATTATTATTATTATTTTTACTTATAAAGATGCACTGATTCTGGTTTTATGGCTGATGCAGACTTCAGGTTTTTGAACAGCTGCTGATGCAGATTTTCTTATATTGAACTAATCCATGCAAAGYTATAATACACGTTCTGGATTATCTGCTGTMTYAAAACAAATACATCCTCAAAGAAACCTTCTCAACTGATGACATGAACTGTTGCCAACACATTAAAAATAGCAACTATTCTCTGATCTAAAAAAAACTGCACRATGATGATCTAATTTGCATATTTGGTCATTTCAATGTAGTTGTGATCCAAGGAGTAGGAGATAAATATCAACGATGGTAAAACTGGAGAAGCTTAATAAAATTACTTTCATGTTAAAAAAATTAATAAAAAAATTTAGGATTTAAATTTATATTTAGGCAATGAAGATGGAAAATTAACTAGAACCCTATAATCTAGAACAGCTAATCTTTACTACATTAAGGTTTATGTGATCCACTGTCCATAAACAAACCAATCAGTGACGTGTGGTGGGATTACGCCTCACTAAACCCTCATTTATCCAAGCTTATAACTAACAGTGTCCAGAGACACTCAGAGCTATTTGGGTTTAGTTTATTTTTGTTGTAATTTTTTAAGCTGTACTAATCTTCTTGGATCCAACAACAAATTACAGTAAAATATATAACTTAATGCCATTACTATTTAACAGTTTAAAACAGCAAAGATGGTTTTAAGTTGACAACATTACAAATATAAATTGACCAAAAAGGGACGAGCGAAAAAAAAAAACAAACTTGTTGGCTGGTGACCGTGGAGTTTGTCTCCTCCTAACTTGAAGTGAGGTATACGAGCCTCAGAGCTTAGGGACGGGGGAAGGGGGCTTCACTTGCTGCTGAAGGCTGGAGACTTATGGGCTACATGTGACAATCATTCAGTAAACACACCAGAAAATGTATCATGTTTGATGCTAGTTGCTTAAAAAAAGCCCTAGAAGGGACTGAAAACTGGCTAAATCTAGTGGGAAAGTCACTTGACAACACAGACCTCCTGCTCGTTTGAGTCCTGTGCAGATCATGGACCAAAAAATAGTTATTTAAAAAACAAACAAACAAAAAATTCAGATTATTATTATTATTATTATTATTATTATTATTATTATTATTTTTAATAGTTCGACTGGTCACTAGTTTTAGCCGATCCAGTTTCAAGTGCATCCCTATTTATAAGAATTCTCCAAGACACTGCCAGCAACTCTCTGCTTCTTCTTCTGCTCCCACAGGTGCACCCTGCACCCAAATGACTCCTTGGCAATGGAGGGACCCCTGTCCAGGGTCAAGTCTTTGAAAAAATCCCTTCGACAAAGTTTCAGGCGCATCCGCAAGAGCAGGGTGTCCGGAAAGAAACGTGTCATCACCACACCCATCAGCAAGGTGACAGAATTTAGTGGTGTGTATGAAATAGGATTCATTCTATAAATATATATATTTTTTGTATTTATACCGTACACTCTGCTCTGTACGAAGGTTCAAGAGGCCAATGCTGCCCTAGCCGAGCAGGAGGATATCGCTCCGGTGCAGCGGAGGATTGAGCCCCGCTCTGCAGATGACTCTCTGTCCGGAGTGGTCAGGTGTCTCTGCTTTGCAGACACATTCCTGCGAGACGGTACGTTAGCTTTTTATTTTCTCTTTGGTAATTACCTATCTGTTTTAGGTTTTGAGTACTCCAAGCAGAATAGTTTGGCTTGAAATTCCCATCCCTAGTACACAGTAGCTGCGTTTCCATTGCAAATGTGCGCAAAACTTTGTCGATATTCTGTTAATGTAGAAAAAACACAGTTTCACAATTGCAGTGTTTCCGTTAAGTAAAAAAAATGCTATTAAAGTCACGCGTGAATACGCTTGTTCTCGCGATAAGTCATTACAAACATGGCGGCAATGGATGAAAACACATAGCATATTGCTACCGCAACACTAGTGCTCATCATCAGAGGAGACGTCGACGTCTTTTATTGAGGCTTTCCAGCAGCAAGCCCCTTAGACTTGGGAGCGGCTACATATGCTGTGTTTTTGGGAAATTGTAGTCAGTGAGTTTACTACTTCTGTGATATTACTACTACTTCTACTTCCTTTTATCTTCTTCATTGTCGTCTTTTTCACCAGTAGAAACAGCCGGTTCTTGATCACGTGACTCCCGTGATGCGAAAAAAGTGTTTCCATTGCAATTTTGCGAAAAACACCAATTTCGATACGGCCGAAAAACCACCTCATCCTAGCACAAAAACATTTTGTCGAAAAACTTAATTTTTTTCGAAATTGACGTGTTTCCATTGAGCAAATTTATTTTCGAAATTCTAATTAGTGCATTTTCATGGTCAATGGAAACGCAGCTGCAGAGGAAGATTTTCTGTTTTTTATATTTATTTGAGCTCCTTGTTTAGTCATTTCAGCCCTGCACCTTTTTTGTTTTGTATTTTTGTTATTTGTCTTGGGAGATTACCAGATCTGATTGGCCGTCTGTTGATCAGGTACTCATCACGGCCCCACGCTCTGGGCCGGGACGAACTCGGGCAGCGTGTACGCCTACGCTCTGGAGGTGCCCRGCGTGGGTTCGGGCCGTGTGTGCGAGCGGGGCGGAGCCAGCGAGGGCAGCTCGTGCGTGGAGGCGGTGTTGGGGAAGGAGATCCAGCTGATGCACAGGGCTCCCGTTGTGTCCATATGTGTTCTGGACGGGCGGGGGAAACCACTGCCAGACCCGTACGAAGCCTCGCAGGACCTCGCCATCGCACCCGATATGACCAACGCTCACTCTGTCCTCATCGCCTCAGAGGAACAGCTCAAGGTAACGGAGGAAACTCCTTCTGGTGTAAATAAAGATGAAGTTCCAGTTATTTTACTTTCTGGGTTTCTTCCTGCAGGTCTTCTCTCTCCCCAAAGTCAGCGCCAAGACCAAGTTCAAGCTGACGGCTCACGAAGGCTGCCGGGTGAGGAAGGTCGCCCTGGTTCTCTTCAGCTCAGTTGCTCAGGAGGACTACAGCGAACACACACTCATCTGCCTCACCAACCTCGGAGACATGCACCTGTTCAACATCCCCGCCCTCCGACCTCAGGTAGAACTGAGAGTCCGTCTGAGTGTTGGGAACATATTTTGACGTATTGTCTTGATGCGCCTTCAACTCTGCGTCGTGTCTTTAGGTTCGTTACGACTGCATCCGTAAAGAGGACATTAGTGGCATCGCGTCATGCGTCTTCACCAAGAATGGACAGGGTGAGGAGGACAGAGCAGTCATCACACACGTCACAAATACTAATGAAAGCCTGTACTTCTGCTCTGTATTGATCCTTTAAACCTAAACTGTAACTTCTGACCACACAATAAAAACTGTAAAGACTTAAACCAAATATTCTTGGCTGAACTACATGAACATTAACATTATTTTTTTCTTTATAAAAATAAGTTTATATGAAGAGTTTGGTTTCTGGAGATTGTTTTGGACCCTCAACTTGTTGGAGATTTGGAAACAGTTGTTCTAAATATTTGTTCAGTCTTCCCTGACACTAAGATAAGACGTTTGGCCTTTTTTTTCCTGCAGGGTTTTACCTGATCTCTCCTTCAGAGTACGAGAGGTTCTCCCTGTCTGCCAAAGTTCTGACAGAACCACTCTGCTCTGTGCAGCTGGACCGACCTCTGGAACTCACAATCGCCCGGTAACACACTCAGAAACACCTGATTACATGCAGTTTAATAGAATTACATATTTTAGCTTCTACACTGCGTGATCTAAAGCAGAGGTGTCAAACTYATTTTCACTGAGGGCCGCATGACGATATGTTGGCCCTGCAGGAGCCAGTTGTAACAAACTTTGATGTTTTGTGTTTTAACTTTAACTAAACGCGAAACATCAACTTGCTCATCTCATTGCTATGACGGAGCACTGCTAACAAACAATAACTGAGCTGTATGTGGTATTTCCTGCATAGAAACAGTGTTTTAACATGTCTTCTTAAAAACAATGGTATGACTGATTAAATAAATAGTACAGACGTTTTACTCTGTTGAGTTGTGGGTGAGTAGCTGCCATCTTGAATTCAGAAATAACCCACTTTCTGACAAGGAATTCCCACTTGAGAGGAGTTCAGTTTCAATTCTCAACTTGTAAGTGGTAAATTTCCACTTCCTACAACTGAGCTGCAGTGAAATGGACACAGAATTTTGCTGGCAGCTTTTATGGTCGATGCTTGCTTTAAAGCAGCATACACTTATTTGAAGATATTAAAACATCTCTGAAGCTCTTGCAGGCGACATAAGACGCTGTGGGAGTTTGGAGTTTGACACATGATCTAAAAGTTTCAGATTCTTGATGGTCAAAACTAATGTAAAGGTTTGAGTTGTCATGTTAGTAAAGCATTTCTTTTTTAGTGGAAATGTGTTTGCTTACAACTTTATAAAAATATTTTGTATTCTATAAATCTGCCTGGGGGGGTGGGGGGTCAGGCTCTAAAACCCTTCACGTCATTTTCAGTAATTATGTTTAAACATACATATATGACATCATAAGTGTTTAAATCTGGTCAGAATTTACCCAAAGACAACGAGAGAGTTGCATTAGTTTACATAACCAGTTAATTTCTATTTTCTATTTTGAGCAAATGTTGTGATTTTATTGGGGGGTTATATTCACTGGATCAAATTGTTGTGGAGGTCATACCCCCCCCCCAAAAAAAAAACAAAAAACAATTGACTATTAAATTACTAAAAGCTATGTTTAAGCTATCACTCACATCTAAGTGAATATTAAAATCCTCCATTATTATAATTTTATCAGTACTTAATAATAAATCATACAAAGTCACAGAATTCAGTTAGAAACTGAGAATAAGGACAATAAATAACAGGTTTTTCTGATTTCCATTTTGGATGAAAGACTGAAAGGAATTATAACTAATAAATGATTTAGCATTAATCAGTAATCCTGACTGATAAACAGTAGCCACTCCACCTCAACCTGTTGTTCTAGGAACATGAACATAGCAGGAGTGGATTTATTTATAAAATCCTCCTGTTGTAACCAGGTTTCTGTAAGACGGGATAAAAAGTTTCTTCTGTTTTTTTTTTTCTTTTTTCCTGCTGCCTAGAACCCATAAACGTGTCGCTCACAGAGCTTTCCTCAGCTCTCTGTAGGCCTGAAGATTGTAAAGTGCCCATTAAACCAAAGAGATGCTTTATGATGACGCTGTGTGTTGCCAAACTAAATGGTGTGTGTGTGTGTGTTTCCTCAGTGGTGGTGCAACAACGCAGCTGCAGGCCAACGGAACCCACAAAAACCAGATGGGTCAGGCTGAAGGTACGGCTGAGCATTTCTTCTTCTCTCTCCTCCTCCTTCRTTATACACCCCCCTTTTCATTTTTACACAACACTCTGAAGCTCTTAAAACCCTGAGCAGACCTGGCAGGGGTCCCCCTCAGGTCTCTATGGTAACCATTCAGCATGCCCCAGTTGCCTCTCCGGTCCGACGGATCCTTTTCTTTTTCAGCACGGAGCAGCGGTTGTTGTGAAAACTGGTCAAACTTTCATCAGCATTTGGTTTTTAGCTACTTTTATTCAGGCATCAGAGGGTTTTAATGTCTTTGTGTTGAAACATGAATTCATTTGGGCAAAACCTACCTGGTCTGCTTTCTGTGCTTCTGAGATTTAAAAATAACTATATTTTTTTAAACTACAAGCACTCAGAGAGTGCAAACCTCCACCAAGACCAATTTCCCCCATCCTGTAATAGAGTAAATGCACAAAAGCAGAGATGGAAACACATTTGCTGATGAAGTTCTGACGTAGTGAACATTTAAGCAGGCAGTATGCACGGGATTTCTTCCCGGTGGAGTCCAATGTGAAAAAAAAAAGTCAGACTCGTCACCCAACGTTATTCATCGTCAAACTGGTCTCGGATTAAGCTCCTAAGTCAGGGCTATTCAACTGAACTGCTCCGGGGGCCACAGTTACTGCAGGTCAACAGCTTAGGGGCCGAACATCCAGCAATTAAATTTATTATGTAGATAAACCAAGTATTACAAAGATCTGTTCTGTTACCTTAATAGTTTATTTTGCTGCATGTAATCATGATTACAACATACAGAACCCTATAAAAGTAGTGATAAATAAACAATATCAAAAACAAAAAGAACACCATTATACCCCCTATTTAACACAAATATTATTTTGACTTGTCTGACTTGCCAAATTTTTAAACCAATTTTATTTTCACTTTGATAGTTTTATTTTCAACTGTTTGTCATTTTAACCGTCTTTAGTGAGCATAGAAATGGTTTATACCAGCTTGTAGCCAAGATTCTGACGGTTCTGTAGATACCAAACATGTCTGTCTAACTATAATAACTCAATGGTAATTAAAGTAGAAAACTGGCGGTTTGGGCTTAAGAGACGAATGAACAAATTGGCG